TACAGGGAAAAATTTGCTTAATAAGAAAAGATAATGTGAAATTGTAACAGGACAGACAAAAGTATAAATATAATGATTTGAATTGAGATAATTAAAACAAAGTTGAAAAAATTAGAAGGAGGGAAAAACTATGTAGAAAATATAAAATGGTAATAAGATATGGAATAGAATATAAAAATGAGCATGAAATTGAGTTTTGTGCCTGTATGAAGAAGTGATAACCTGGGACCATGCTATTTTCAAAAAAGATGTTTTATTTGTATTTTGTTTTTGTGAAAACCCAAATAAAATTTTCAAAAAAAAAAAAAAAAAGTAAAAAAAAGTGAAGAAAGCAAAATGAATGAAGTATAGAACATTTTCCATAAGGAAAGGGTTAGAATGTTTCAGATTCTTTAGCTTGGAATAAAACAACCAAGAGGGAGGAGATGGATATAAAATTGTACATGATATAGACCAGTGATTCCCAAAGTGGGCGGTACCGCCCCCTGGGGGGCAGTGGGATGCCTTAGGGGGGTGCTAAGAGGCAAGGGGGCTGGCAGAGGGGCGCTAAGAGGCAGCAGGGGGGTGTTCGAGGCGTCGGCCCTGCAGATTCACTCATTGACTGTAGCACCGCTCCAGAGCCGGCGCCTCCAATGCGGAAGCTGTGGCATGTTACGTGCCGCCATGGCCGCGTTCAATACGCCGCCCCCCTGCCGCCTCTTAGCGCCCCTCTGCTGACCCTCTTGGGGACACTAAGATGCGGCAGGGGGCCATTCGAGGTGCCGGTCCTGCAGGTTCAACCATTGACTGTAGCACTGCTCTGGAGCCAGCGCCTCCAATGCGGAAGCGGTGGCACGTTATGTGCCACCGCGGCAGTGTTCAATGCACCATCCCCCTGCCACCTCTTAGTGTCCCTAAGGGGGCCGGCAGAGGGGCGCTAAGAGGTGGCAGGGGGGCGTTCGAGGCGCCAGCCGGCCCTGCAGGTTCACCCATTGAGGTGCCAGCTCCAGAGCGGTGCTAGTCAATGGGTGAACCTGCAGGGCCGGCGCCTCAAACGCCCCCCTGCCACCTCTTAGCATCCCCAAGGGGGCCAGCAGAAGGGCGCTAAGAGGCAGCAGGGGGGAGGCACGTGGAACGCGGCCGTGGTGGCATGTAACGTGCCACTGCTTCCGCATTGGAGACGCCGGTTCCAGAGCAGTGCTATTCAATGGGTGAAACTGCAGAGCCGGCTGGCGCCTCGAACGCTCCCCTGCCGCCTCTTAGCCCCCCTCTGCCGGTCCCCTTGGGGATGCTAAGAGGCGGCAGGGGGGTGTTCGAGGTGCCGGCCCTGCAGGTTCACCCATTGACTGTAGTAATGCTCCAGAACCGGTACCTCGAATGCGGCAGCATGTTGGGAAAAGCCGCTGCCACTGCTTTCCCAACGTGCCGCTGCTGTCGCATTCTGTCTGTCCGTCCATCCATCCATCCAAAAGTTCTGTTTGCCTGCCTGCCTGCCTGCCTGTCTCTCTCTCTATCCATCCATCCATCCATCCATCCATCCATCCATCCATCCATCCATGTTCGAAGCGCCAGCCCCGCAGGCACATTGGGAAAGTAGAGCAAAGCCAGTCTGAGAGGGAGGGAGGGAGGAAAGGAGGGTGGGAGAGGGAGAGGGAGAGAGAGAAAGAGAGAGAGAAAGAGAGAGAGAGAGAGAAAGAGAGAGACCTGATGCATCAGATTGAATGAGGCCTAGTTTAGACTGAGGCCCTTTTCCACACTGAAACATCTTTGCCAGCACATTGAAACCTCTTTGGCTTCTATTAAAGGTTTTGTGGACGAAACATGGTCAGGACTATCAGGAAGCTCTCACATTTTGTTGAGGCTTTAAACAGGATTCATTGGAGCAGATCTCCACCTTAAAAATTACTTTTCCCCAATGTATTACAGTGCCAATTCTGAAGGCAAAACCAAAATGTACTGGGAAATTACAAGGAAAACACACACACACACTCCCTTCTAACCCTGCTGGAGCAGGTGATTGGACTAGAATAGATATCTCATTATCTTTCTCCTCCCTCCCTCCTTCTTTATTTCTTTTTCTTTCTGTCTCTTCCTTCCATCCCCCCCCTCTTTCTTTGTCCCTTTTTCTTTCTTTCCTTTTTCTCTTTATTTTCTCTCTCTTTCTTTTCTCTCTCTCTTTCCCTCTCTCAGGCTCATCCCTTTGGATCAGATGTCACCAAACCTTTGGACCTCAGGGACCACCAAACTCATAATTTTAAATCCCGGAGACCACTAATATGAATTTTGACTGACGGTGGCTTTCTGGCGTTGGTGGGAGAGAGAGAGATCTGATCCAACCTCTTTCTCTCCCTCTCTCTCACACACACAGGCAGGGGTGGGATTTAGACCCCTGATCTTAAGCTGTCAAAACTCCAAAAACTGGTCAAGTAGCTCTGGGGAGGCCAGTCATAAATTAGACACTTGCTAAACAACCGGTCATTAAGTGAGGACCACTTGTATTTGGTTTGCCAGTCACCTGGCCACACCCACCCAGTCATGTGATCAGCAAACCACACCCTCAAATTAGGCCACACCCACAGAAATTTGAATTCTACCCCTGGGTGGGGGGCACCGAGGATGAGTTTGTAGCACCAAGGGAGCAGTGGACCAAAAAAGTTTGGGAACCACTGATATAGACAAATTGGCAGGGAGAGATTTTTTTTCTATCTCTTTCAAAATACAACCAAGTATCATTCAATGAAGCTAATCAGAAGGAGATTTGGACATACATATGTTTTGCATTGAACATAAAGAAATCTATAAATGTCATTACCATGTGATTAAAGAGGGGATCTGATAAATTTATGAAGGGCAGGTATCAAGATCTCTGATTAATTGTTATCATTTTCAAATAAACTGTCCTTATCAAAAAGTCAGATTTACTTACGGAAATGGGAAATAGGCCACGTGTGAAATAACGGTGCCTTGGGTTCTGCTGCATGATGATATGCTTCTAAGTCACAGACCCCTTTAGTTGTTGAACACAGTTTTTCCATTTTCTCATGTATTTTAGCCTAGCAAAATTGAGAAAGTAAGATTCAACATTTAAGAAGTGAAAGTTCAGTAAACATTTTGAGCAAAATTGCTTGATCACTAATTTTAGCAGCTAAGAAATTTTGAAAAGTGGGACATAGACAAGGTAAGCAATAGCAACAAACCATAATGTTTCTTTAAGGACATTTTTAACAGCCACAACTAAACATGATTTAATAGTTTTGTTTGGCACTTCTGAGTTAATATGCATAGTATACATTCATTTAACATCTTGCTTATATGCTTAATATCTTTTAAAGTTAAAGATTGCTGTCTTGAATAGGTCTGATAAAATAATTAAAAAGGAATATGACAATTTGCTGCAAAGATATACTTCCGTTGACAGGTGAGAAGTATAGAAATGTTTCTCAGCACAGATTCTAGTAAGAAGTACCATTTTTTTAAAAGTCCCAAGTAGTTCTGTACAGCACTGCTCCAATTCCATGTTATAGTTAAGTGGCAGTCTTTCACTGTCAGAGGGATCCTCATGTTCTATCTCCAAATTGCTGTCTTTAAGCCTAATAATTAAAAAAAATCAGTTAGTATTTAAGAAAAATACCTTAACTATCATCTAATTGTAACAGAGAATCATCTTTAATTTCTTTAAACTTCTAAGTGCATCATATGACATATTTTTTTAAAAAAAATCCAGTTTAAATGAAATAAAAATGAGTTTTGCACCAACACTATTGACAAATTAGATCAGTGTACTTACTGTGTAGCATTTTTGATGTTCACAATCTTGTTGGCAATAGAAAATCCATTATCATTCAAGGTTTCCCATTTCATCATTAGGTTGTGCCAGTCTGCTGCATTATCTTTAATTTTTCTTGCACTCATGGACAATACAGGTGTCCTAGGAGTAGAACTACTAGCTAATCAAAACACATTAAAATAATTTAAATTAGTTGATTTTACTACTAATATTTTTATTTTTAAAATATCTTCTACTAAGATCTTTTAAAGATTTTAAATTATTTAAATTTTAAAGATCTATTCTTTCCTGTCATATATGGACCATGCTACTCCAAGAAAATGTCAATAGAAAACAGATTTATATGTTGTCTGGACAAAATAAATATACAAAACATTGAAGGAGCAGATAACAAATTTTTCCACATTTGGCATGATTCCTATCATAAATTTATTCCTTGTGAACAGATGTAGACCATAAATCTGGTTTACAAAAGCACAATTGCTTCATTTACATAACATGTTATGCCTAAACAAACAGCCCATACAACAGTTTAATGTGGAAACTGGTTCCCACAACTTAAAAGGGTGGGCTCCTACCACAGATTGAAGTACAATCTAAAAAGGTTTTTAAAAATCTCCTTTAAGTTCTGTTCTTGAGGGTTTTAAGGAGATACCCACTCAAGAATTCTCGGCAATGATATGCTAGAGATTTTGTTGTTGTTATTGTTAGTATTTCTGGTTGCTTCCTACCCAAATTTCTATTCCCGACCTTGCTTTGCCTTTCCAGCTAACTGCAGTTATACATGCTGCTGCCTACCTAGACAACTAGAAACCACCCAAGTTGCATTTAAGTCTTGCCTGGCATGCTGTTAAGAACCTATCCCAAGAATCTACAATGCTGGATCAGTCAATTGTGTTCATTTAATTGACCTTGCACCACAAAGACAGGCTGGAAGAGTCACTAGACTAGACTTTCTTTTCAGTGGGTTACGGGGAGGCAGTTTACAACCCACGTCGAGGGAGGCATACAGAAACATCGCGGGCGGTCCTCACTGCCCGACCTCTACAGGTAGTTCTCACCTTACGACCACAATTGAGGCCAACGTTTCTGTTGTTAAGTGAAACATTTGTTAAATGAGTTTTGCCCCATTTTACGACTTTTCTTGATGCAGTTGTTAAGTGAATCACTGCTGTTGATAAAGTTAGTAACTGTGTGGTTAGGTGAATCTGGCTTCCCAATTGACTTTGTTTGTGAGAAGGGATCACAGGACCTTGGGACACAGCAATGATGGTAAATGTGAACCGACTATCAAGCATCTGAATTTTTGATCACGTGAATATGGGAAGACTGCAGAGGTCGTAACTGTGAAAAATGGACCTAAGTCACATTTTCTCAGTACCGTTGTAACTTCGAACCGTGTAGTTACTCCATTCACCCGCCGGGCCCCCTTTAAAGAGGAAGCCGTGGCCTAGCGAAGCAGTCGGAAACCCACCTCCCCCTCCTCCAAACTGCCCCACTCTTGAGAAAACTCACCGGCCATCTTCCCACTTCGCGGACGGCGACCCTCTTCCTAAATCCTTCCTCTCGGAAATGCGCTCACGTCCGGCCCCGCCCGGCTAAGAGACTCCGCGGCTGCCGCGAGTGCTGGCGCTCGGTTTGTTTTCCCAGCGTCGCCAGGCCTGGGAGGGAGCGGTTACTCGCTTCCCTTGTTGATCATGAGGGGCTCTGAGTCCTACTGAGGTAGGGAGCTTGCGGCCTGGACAGGCGAGGCGGGCGGGGAGCGCTGGGTCTCCAAGGGCCGTGTTGCTAAGGTCTGGGGGCTAATGTCTCGAAAGAATTGCTGCCTGGCTCTGCTCTCAGCTCTCTTTAGAGGCGGAGGAGAGGGGGTGAGTTGTCAGTCTCCTTCTCCCTCCTTTAACTGCCTGCTTGGGCGGAGCGGGGTTTGGACTAGATGACCTACAAGATCCCTTACAACTCTGTTAATCTGTTATCTGTTAACTTCTCAAGAAAGAGGTTGCTGGGGTCGGGACTAGCTGGTGCAAATCCTTCCCCTCGGAAATGCGCAATTAAATGGCTTGTATGCTTGCTGCGGTTGCTGACAGTCATCTGAACTTGCTCAAAAGACTGAAATTGGTCTCTGTTAGAGACTTGACATTAAAAACGGGTGGAAGCAGATTCTGCCAGCTGTAACTAAAACTAAACGGTATTTTGTTGTCCTACTCTGGAAATGCCCCTCAAAAGCAACCTTCAGGTGCTGGTGAAAATTGGGAGTTCAACACTTTTTGGTGTCAAAACCAATACATCCTCTGTTTACTATGTTTGCTAATACATTATTGTCTCCTTGTAGAGCATTTTCCACTGATTTAAAATTTTGGAAATATACTTAGCTCACTGTCCTACAAAGATCCTGCATTCCACATTTTGTGAAAAATCTGTGCAACCAAAGTGAATGGAGTTAAAAGTGAATGGAAAGGAGCTAAATTATTGAAACATTTTGTTGACAATGGTTCCTTTTGTTATAAATTGTGGCCTTACATTTTTAATGAAATTGCATTCTTAAATATAAAAACTCCAAAATATTACAATTAAAGCTCTTCTTTTGCACACATATAAAATGGACAAACTGTGTATCTCTTTAGAGCTGTACCTATGCTTTCCTTGTGAATCGGTATTGTAATTTCATCAGTTATTAAAGTTCTCAGGAAAAACTACAATTGTGGGCCTTCTTGCTCCTGAGCACTCTGGCAAATTATTAAAGAAGGGTACAGATAAATATTTTAGATCCATTGAATAAATTGTCTACTGTGGAGGAAGTTGAAAGGAAAGTCTGCTGGAGGGAAGTATTGTACTTTAGAGGAACTGGACTTAGAAGATCAGATGATATTCTGACTTCTTTTCTTCCTTTCAGTTGTGACCAATTCTTGGATACAAGGCATGTATGTAATAAAGTGAGTGTGAAGTTGACATACATGTTCTAGTAAAATGTTGATACTTTTAGTGACATGAAGGACATTTGTTTGAAAAGAGTCCTATGTCTATTCTATATTGGAATCTTTTTTAGAAATATCCATTATAATTATATTTATTATTAACATATAATTTTAGAAGGTTTTATATTATTTTGAGAACCAATTTGGTATATGGTTAAGGCATCATGCTAGAAATTAGGAGGCTGTTAATTCTAGACCTGCCTGATTCACAAAGCCGCTGGGTGACTTTAGATTAGTCTCTTTCTATCAGCCCTAAGGAAGGAGGTAATAGCAAGCTAATTTTTTGTCAAGAAAACTGCAGGCAGTCTCTGTGAATTGGACAAAATTTAACAGAAGAAAAAAATACCAAACTTGAAAGTATATAAAGTAGCTCTGTTAATTACAATATATCATTTTAAATGTATCTGTTTTCCTAATGATGAGAAATCCTGAAATACATTTAATTCCTAAACCAGGAGAGGATCTTACCATATTCCATAAAGTGATTGTCAAGTGAAAATGCATAATTTCACTTATATTAGCATGCAGATAAGTAGAGTAAGATATGCCTTCTTTTCAACAAGGAACAGTATTTTGAACTTTCACTTTCACATTTTTATAATGGATATTCAATGTATGTTTACTGTATATATCTGGGTCTAAAACATACTGACCTCTTCTAAAGCATGATGTTCCAGGAGATGCGTTGGCAATTTCCAAAGTAAATACTTTGAATCACAAGCAGTTTGAAGTGCTCAAAACATTTTTCTGGATGAAATTTTTCATACTTGGGATGGTATGGTCTAGAAGAGGTTCATCATAGTCCAAAGGAAAAGCACAATGTTATGGAATTCTCCAAAAAGTTTCATTCCCAAATTGATAGTTTTGCACATCCCTAGAATTCTGTAATATAGGTTCTACAAACACAGGTGCCTTTTTATATCCCTCTCATTTCAAGTCACACTTATGATGAAGTATTTTAACTAAATATTCATATTGTTGTTTGTGGGTAGAGTTGATAATAACTCTGCTAATTTCTAAAATAAACAGTGGCTCATTTGGTGCACAATTCGTTTAATGTTCCATTTTTGTAACTGGGCAGTAGTTTGGAAAATTATGCACAAATATGTGCAGTTTTGTGCAGAAAAAGATATGTTTAAATATGTGTAAATAAGTGAATCTCAGCTCATACTTTTATTTCATTGTGCTTCTGAGGTGAAATTCAGAAAATTTCTGAACTGTGATTAATATCTGTGGCTTACTGAAGGAAGCTGCTCTCATAATAGTTATAACTAATCAGAAATGCCTGACATAATAATTCAATGTGAAAGATTCTTGTCTTCTCCTTGGGATTGTGCTAGAGGAGAAGAAAAGACTGATCACCTTATAAGATTCATTCACATAATGCTGAACAATATTCAAGTTGAACAATTTTATATAATCCAGATTATATAGTTAATAAGGTTAATATACTAAAAGCCAAAATTTAAAAACCATAATGTATGGTTTAATATATTTTACTTAGCAATAGTATGGTATGGCTGATAAACAAATAAATAAATAAAGACAAATGAAAAAAGTATAACTTTGAATCATCTGGACCATGAATTGCCCTAGATCAGGGGTGTCAAACCCAAGGCCCGGGGGCCAGATCCAGCCCCTGGGAGGCTTAGATCTGGCCCACAGGGCCACCCTGGAAACAGCAAAGGACCAGCCCGCGGTGCCTGTGCCAGTGATAACAGGCTCCCGAGCTCCTTTTTTGGCTGCAACGGCCTCCTGTAACCCTCTGCCAGCAAAAACAGAGCTCGGGAGGGCCACATCCAAGCACTGTTTTTGCTGGCAGAGGGTTGCAGGAGGCCGTCGCAGCCAAAAACGGAGCTCAGCAGCAGGGCATTTTCACTGGCAGGGCACTCAGGCAGCCACAGGTGCCCCCAACACAAGTGACGCCGAGCTGACCACCCCTACCTCAGCCCCCCCACCCCGGGCCCCTGAGGTCAAACACAACCCTGATGCAGCCCTCAATGAAATCAAGTTTGACACCCCTGCCCTAGATTAAAACAAACAAGACAAATTCCTTAGTACTGTATATACCTATACTACAGAAAGAAAAATTTTGGAATTAGATCCAAAACATTTATGTTGTGTCTAAAAAAAAAATCTACATTTTAATTTGAAGGAGCATTCTATTTGTTCTTTACTGTGACTGAATTTTAGAAACTGAACGTTGCTCTTAAAAAATTGTCTGCTTTTTCATGGGCTGAAGAAGTATATGAAATGTATCTTTTCTAGTCTATAGGTTGTGTGCTGTGTTTACTATGGCATCAGTGATACCGTCACTTACCTTCAAGGAGTTTTGCCCCTTGTATTATCTTCTCAATGCCATTCCCACAAAAATCCAAAAAGGATTTCGTTCCATTGTGGTTTACTTGACTGCACTTGACACTAATGAGGACTACATAGCGGTTGGCAGTAGTATTGGCATGCTGTATTTGTACTGCAGGCATTTGAATCACATGAAAAAATACAATTTTGAGGTAAGACCATCTCTTAATATTGTCATAACTGTCTTTTAAGATGTTTGGCTAACTTAGCATCCATCTTAAAAATAGGTAAACACATAAGGTTCAAAAATGTTTTAAGTAAGTTGCTGTGGTATTTTTAAAACAAGATTAAAAATTATTTATATTATAGTTATTGTACTCCATCTCTGTTTAAGTTAACTTGTATTTGATTTACACCCTAAAATGGTTAAGGCAAACTTGTTCTTTACTGTATAAATTTATGTTTTCATTCATAAGCTATACTGTTCATCACATTGTTTATATACTATTTTTCTCATAAGCAATTGATTACAAGGTAAATGACAGCAATGGAATATATGCTGTACAGGTAGTCCTTGACTTACAACAGTTTGTTTAGTGACCATTCAAAGTTACAACAGCGTTGAAAAATGTGACATGACTGTTTTTCACAGTTATTATCATTGCGGCATCCCTGTATTAATGTGATCAAAATTCAGATACTGAGCAACTGGTTCATTTTTTTGATGGTTGCAGTGTCCGAGCTCACTTTTGCGACTGTCCAGCAAGCAAAGTCAGTGGGAAAGCCAGACTTACTTAACAACCATGTTACTATCTTATCAACTGCAGTGATTCACTTAATAGCTGTGGCAAGAAAAGTCATAAAATGGGTCAAAACTCACTTAACAAATGTGTCGCTTAACAACAGAAATTGTGGGCTCCGTTGTGATCATAAGTCAAGGACTACATGTATTTGGTTTTCTAAGTTCAACCAAGGAGGATGATTGAGGGTAGGTAAATTTTATTTGTCCTCTTGTCATGGATATGTGACATAATGGTGGCTGAATCTTCCAGTGGTATTACCATTTTTGAGAGCACTGGGAATATTAAAATGATTCTTTAGCACATCAAGATCAATACATGTTCTGCAATACTTTAGAATTCTGTAGCATTTGCTGCCTGGAAAACTAATGCTCACAGAAAATTGTACTTGTTTAAGTGGAAAATTAATTCAGGTGGTTTTCATGATTGCCTCAGAGCATTGCTTTATTGCTGTGCTGAGTATCTGTAGCTATTTGCTACACAGCTGAGGACGGAAGTATATTGAAAACAATTGGGAGAGTAGCTGTGTTCATCTCTGCCCTCAATGAAGAGAT